CTGCTAGTATGGGATCAGTTTAGTGCTCACAGGACTGAAAACACCAAAAGGCTAGCAAAGGGGCTCAACACACAGCTGGCAGTAATTCCTGGTGGCCCGACTTCCCAGTTACAGCCACTAGATGTCGGCATTAATAAGCCCTTTAAGAATAACATGAGGGAGCAAAGGAATAAATGGATGACAGAGGGGAATATGACGCCGACTGCAAGGATGAAACGTCCATCAATACCTGAAGTGGTATGAGTAATGCTATGGCTGGCACCGAAGACAACTTGTTAATGCTTTTGACTGTTTTACTGGACATGATATTTAGAAATTTACAGTTTTTTTTTTTTTTTTATTGTTTGCTTACCAAAAATTTTAATTCATCTCATTTTTACCGAGTTTTTTATTTTAATTTTTTTGTTTTTAAATAAAGATTGTTTTATTTAGACGTTGATATACATGTTTAGATTTGCTTACCTTCTACAGGTAGTTCTGCTATAACGCGATAATTGTGTTCTTGTAAAATACCGTGTTATAGAAAATCGCGTAATAGAAATAACAGGGCTTATGGAGAAAACAGGGTTAGGTGCAGATTACTCGAAATCGAAAAAATTTAGTAGTTAGCCTAACACAAAGGATAGCAGTCTAAATAAATGTTACATTCATATCTAATAATGAAATCATACAGTAAATGTTACACTTTACCTTGAAAAAATATGATTGTAACTTGATGGGGGAGAAGGGTGATTTTGAGGTTGATAACATCGAGCTTCTCTTCAAGTGTTATATCCTTTCTTTTACGATCATCACCGGGAATTCTATCACCAGAACGCTTCTTGGAGATATTCTTCTTTACCATATTCACAGTTAATACCACAAAATTGGAGAAATAGTAAACAAAAATCGCGTTATAGCAAACAAGCGTTCGCGTTATACAAACATCGTTCCTAATTCATAAATCGCGTTAGAGCAAATTCGCGTTATCAAAACACGCGTTATAGCAGAACTCACTGTACTGTTGGAAAATATTTCCCGTCGTTGTCATACCGACAAAAACAAGAGAAAGAATGTAAACACTACAGCCCGCTAGACGCGGAGGTGACCAGGTGTATAAAACGAGTGCTGTATTAAAGATTTCACCTTATACGGATTTATTATTTTAAATTGATGAAAATGACGACTGATAATCAGTTCTAAGTGATGATATTCAAAGAGGTGTGTGTACTTGGGCCAAAAGGGCTGTATATCAAGCAACGGTTTCACTGGTGTCGGTTAGTAAGTATAAAAAGTTTTTTCCTAGAATTACATTTCCAAAATCAGGGTGCGTCTTCCACGGTGCAGTGTCTTCCAAGCCGAAAATACGGTAATTATTATTTATGACCTCTGTTAATCCAGCAGTTCTCGGGAACCAAAGGTTCCGGAAAATCGGTGGTGTATCTGTACTGTATACAAGTAATAGAATTAACAAAACATTAAATATAAACTAAATACAGTACTGTACTGTATAGTGTATATTAATAAATAAAAAACAATAGAATACTGTATTTTAACTTACTTTGAGGTGTGTATGTGTTGTATTCCCAGCAGCTTTATTTACATAATCAACAGCCGATTGTAGAGGCAGTCGATGATGACATGCCATGTTCTTTATAGAGTGCATTGGTTCTAATGCCTTCTTCATGTTTCATAATAATTTCTGCACTGTATATTATCAATATGTGAACTAAATTTCAAAATGACCAATAATTTTAATGTAAAAAAGCAAAAATTTTCAAGAGACCAACAAACTCGAAGTTCACTCCACTGTAAACAAAGTTAAACCGAGAAGCGTTGTTGGGCGATTAGATCAGCTGGAGGGCACACAAAAACATATTATCAACATGTTAACTAAATTTCAGAATGACCTATAATTTTAATAAAAAAAATAAAAAAATATTCACGAGACCAACTTTCTCGATAGTTACTCCACTGGAGACAAATGTAAAGAGAACCAAAAACTGCATTAGCAGACTAGTATATGAGCTGATGCGCACAACAAAGTGTTTTTCTCGTAAGGCTGTCGTTAATAGAACTGAAAATCCTTATGGGAGCTAATTCATTAACCAAAACCTCGTAAATTGAATCGCTCTTAATGGATGGACCACTGTACTATGTATTATTATTATTATTACTTTTTTTGCCCCCAGGCCCCGATGTGGGTCAGTGACCTGCGCCCGGGTGGGCTAATCCCCATAATTACAGATATTTCATAACATTACATCACTATGCACTGCAAATAGGTTGTTATATTCTAGTAATACATACTTGATCACCACAGCCAAGTTAATATTGTTATTATCAACTCTTAGCATTTTTTTTGTGCTAAATAAACTGTTTCAATATCAATACAGTATATCAATCATTCCAAATAATTAAACACAAAACCTGCTCATTCTTAACTCCAATTTTCAACTTAAAAGCATTTCTAGCTATGATTTTCACTTTCTTGGGAGTAAAATTCTTTTAAAACAAACATGAATACTGATGTTAAAACAATATGCATAATGGCTAGTTGGGAGCAGTATGGATACAGTACACTAAACCAAGATAAGTATGCATTCAACTGGGGGCACTCTGGGAATGATCTAAAAGCAGGAGACTAGCACCATGGGGAGGAGAGGGTAGGGTAAAGAGGGAGAACTTAATTACCATTTCAGTTGTGTGTGTTCTTGAGGGCAACACAAGGAATTTTATAACACTATTTTCACCTTCTGCATTTGTTGAGTGTTACAAACTTGCACACTAAAGTCAATATTGTGATAGTAGTAAACTGTTGATAATATGGTCTTCTGACCAGGTAGAAAACAAGGACTGAAATGAAACCCCACTTTCTCACAAACTTGTTTATTCAAATTGTTGCATCGGTAAATATAGTACAGGGTTCATTAAAGAAAAATGATTAGCCTTACAGTACCAAAAGAAGTAATAAATGAACATATAACGGACTGTGAAAAAATATACACTAGGTTTGTCCACACTTACTGAAAGTAGATCAAGTATATGTCATGAATAACTTTAGTGAATAAATTTCAGACACAAAGCTCATCTATTTAGAGGCAATAACAAGTTACATTACTACGTCAGCTAAACTGTGAACTTGTGTAGCAGGTTCATCTGTAAAGCTTCTGTGTTGTTTTTGTTTTCTGTACACTAATACTACACCGTTTGGTGGAATGTACACACTCGCACAATACCATTTGCACTAGAGGAACACAGTATCACAGTCACACGTCCTTCAAGAACGACAAATTTGCACTCACACCCTCAGTCACTTGAGTCATGTTACTGGAGGGTTTGGCATGACAGACCCAGGAGAGAATGGCAAGACTTCACCATCAAACTCCTGTGATTTCTGACACACGGGAAATGTGCTCACATGGCAAAGAAGAAGCACTGCAGGCATGCCTTCTGCTCCATATACAGTCCAAGCTGAATCACACATAGGGAACCCTATTATTAATGTCTGCCATACATTTGACCTTTTCTTGATAATCTTGTCACAGGATACCACACTTGAACACTAACAATATTGGACTGAACATAGCTTGCACCACATGCTTACAGAGTGCCATATCACACAGGGCCTCTTATCACAGTCAAACATTCACCAGTCACAGGACTGCAGTAAACTTATCCCTTCCATGGTGATCATGTAAGGCATTTTACAAAACCAGTTCCTTCTTGAACAATGTTAAAAGTTACAACATTCCATTAAAATCTTGGCATTCAATACACAGCTATTATGTAATATTCAATCAACAATATGCTGAAAACAAATGTTATGCTGTCTAACACTGAATTCAAGATGGATCTAGTTTTCCAACAACCAGTGCTGGTTGAATAATGCCTTCTACCATTGTACCACTTAAGCCATTTAATGGGGAATTTGGCACCAAACCTAAAAAACCCCATAAGTTAATGGAAGAAAACCTTAACCCATAACCATGATCCATTCACACAAGTTGTCAACACTGCTGACCAAGCCAAGGGTTACAGTAATAATCTTCCAGAAACTTGCAGACTTCTTGCCTCATGTCACACTGCACATTTAGGGCTCTTCAACACACAAATTGTAACATAATCAGCAATCAGGAATTTTTGCAGATTGACAAGGCTAACTTAAAGACTTTTATGACACTTGATTAGACTGGCCTTGTCTAACGAACTCTAAGACCAAACATGGCTGATACTGTTACAAACACTGTAGTTCAAATCACAATGGTCAGGCACAGCAGCATACAGTTTTATACATCATTCATGAGAAGCTAACGGGGAATATTCACTTTTGCATTTTGAAAACTATGAATCACGAGGTTAACGGTAACCCGGTCAAAACTTTATTGTTATTGCTAAGTCCGAGAGCGATTAAGGGTTACCATCAATCATTTGAGAGACCCAGAGAAATAATTATGGCCAGATAGATTTAAAGATTTGATCCCAATTGCCTCAAAATGCCATCAACAGAACTACTACTGTACAGCCTTATCCCATTCTAGTGCCCTAAACACACAAGTGCTGTCACCAAAGAATTAAAGAGAATAACTGAAGAGGTATATTAACAGGGAAAGATTAACTGCAAATCCCACTCTGATATTTACAAGTGCCTGAATATAAATATATATATATATATATATATATATATATATATATATATATATATATATATATATATATATATATATATATATATATATATATATATATATATATATATATATATATATATATATATATATATATATATATATATATATATATATATATATATATATATATATATATATATATATATATATATATATATATATATATATATATATATATATATATATATATATATATATGTATATATATATATTATATATATATATATATATATATATATATATATATATATATATATATATATATATATATATATATATATATATATATATATATATATATATATATATATATATATATATATATTTAACAATTTCAGGAACTTACCAGGTTCCTTCAAATGTCTATTAAGAAATACTGATTGAATATAAACAGCCAAGCAGAGGTCTTGTAAACATCTATGGAATGCAGCAGAGATGCCCAGCCTATAAAGTAGAATGATCTTACTGACAGAATGGAAGGGGTCGTAGTAAAAAAAATCCTTTGTACCCTTGATTAGAAACCAGAGGACATTTTATTATATCATCTTTTCTGTATAGCAGATGGATTGTTACCAGAAGGGTACAAGACTCACGGCTACAGCACCATTCATTCCCACGAAAAGGCACTTGAAAGGACTGGCTTTCTAAAACCATAGTTAAGAAATAGGACTTACTTTGGAAAAGCTTATATTCTTTATAGATCAATTGAGGCAGATCTTTTCCTGGGAGCTGGAATGATTCACTGGAACTAATTAGCTCTGACAGTCGCCTAGAAAAGATATTCCCGTCATTTATTAAAAGTCTTCAATTATTTCCACACTCTTCCGAGGCCATCCGGTCGTCATCGCATTCGGCCAAACTGCCGCACTTGCGATTGTCCACGTTCGTCTGTCCACTCACCACACAACCCATGCGCTGAACGGTCACCACTCACCACAGCCGGGCAACGCTCTTCCCTCACTCCATGCAGACACACCGCATCTGACTCACCGCATCGACTCACCACAGACTAAACTCGGCACTCATCTGAAAAGCCAAGTTAGGGGCTACTACCAGTTAGATGACACTTGTAGACGTATTCCAGCCACTCACTACACTAATTCCTTCACCTTCCCTAAGTGGCGCCGAAACTGCTTGATCAGGTACACAAAGCAACACGAGATTCCTGACTGCCAAAGGCACACGTTGACACACTGAAGTAAGAAATATACATTTCTCACACACAGTTTATAGTAAGAAAGGCTCTCGTATCACCAGAAATTACCATACAATCAAACAGCTCATTCATTAGTTTAGCACATACTTGTGTAGTTTCAGAGAAAAATTAATTAATTCATGACAATGCCTTATTAACCCTATACTATGCTGCATCTGTTCACTGGAAAATGCATAATATAAGAAATGTAATAAAACCTTGGATCTGTGGGTCTGTGATATACAACTCAGCTTACTTGTTACCTGAAATTATAATTTTTACTGCTCCTGTAAACATATACTTCAGTTACTGCAATATTTGGTAAAACCTCTCTCTTAAAGAGACCATAGCAATGTTTGTGTGCGTGCATGCAGGCACAAAATCCCGAATGTGTGCAAATGTTGCAGTTACTACTAATAAAATTGTGCATCTGTACCTAAATATATGGAGATGGGGGATACAGCTCCTTAACAAAAACAGGGGCCAAAGCATACATCTAGTTCTGATGTGATGCTGTAGCAGTGCTTAAAATGCATGACCTTGTTTCAATATTGTCTGGACAATTAAGTATTTAAAACTCAAGTCACATGGTCGTTGCATCGACACTGCTCACAAAATAAAGATGTTTATTTCCACTTAGTACAGTTCATCCACCAAAGTCGCCTGTGTGTTATTTTTTCTTGGGACCAATATATATATATATATATATATATATATATATATATATATATATATATATATATATATATATATATATATATATATATATATATATATATATATATATATATATATATATATATATATATCCAGACAACTGAAACCTCCCGATCATAAAATTGTGTGTAGTTAATGATCCACACACACACACACCACCACCAACAATTGACGAAATGTCGGGCCCCCCCATCACTTGTGTTAGCACTTCCAAACTCAAATAAAATCTATAACTTCATCTAAATCACTACTGTAACAGCATCATCTTCATACACAAGCTGACTGAACTCTCATTTACATACTAAAGAAGACCCTTGCCATTTGTGGTTTTGACTATTCACAGTTCACTCCATAAAAAAATAATAAAGAAAAAATTAGTTGTATATTATATAAACAGCTCCTTCCCTTCTCACATCATCCTCTGCGAGACACCAGTATGTAAATAAATAAGAAGCAGGCAGATGCCAGGGCTAGATGGCTGGTCAGTTGTTTCTTCATGTAAACAAACAATACTGTAACTCATACAGGGTTCAATTTTTTCCAGGAAAATTAATTAATTTGCAATGTTTTATTAACCCAGTAGCAAATGAACCTATATCTGGGAGTTATGATGAAACTGCATACTGTTACAAAGAGGCAGTCACGCTCCATCCAGCCCCGTCACCTGTCACGCTCCGTCCAGCCCCGTCGCCTGTCACGCTCCATCCAGCCCCGTCACCTGTCACGCTCTGTCCAGCCCCGTCGCCTGTCACGCTCCGTCCAGCCCCGCACCTGTCACGCCAGTCCAGCCCGTCCAGCCCCGTCGCCTGTCACGCTCCGTCCAGCCCCATCACCTGTCACGCTCAGTCCAGCCCCATCACCTGTCACGCTCCGTCCAGCCCCATCACCTGTCATGCTCAGTCCACCGTCACACTCCGTCAAGCCCCGTCGCCTGTCACGCTCCGTCACCTGTCACGCTCCGACCAGCCCCGTCACCTGTCACACTCCATCCAGCCCCGTCACCTGTGTTATTCAGTGTCACACAGTTCCATTTCCACTTCATTTTGTCTTATTTTATATTTACTGTACATACATATATTAGTATACTGTAAGAGTCATTGTTTCATTAACTCTCTTCACCAACGTACAGTAGAACCTCCATTATCTGCAGTCTGGGTAACCGGCACCCAAATGAAATACTTAAAATTCCTCCAAAATCAGCTTGAATTTTAAGTTTTAATACGGCACACAATGTCAATGAGCGGCCATATTCATTGCGACGAAAAACAATAAAATTTATACATAGCACATCATAAAATACAATATCAGAATTAATTGAAAAAAAAAAAGGCTCCTTCCACACTCAAACCATCATCTGGGCAACATGACAGTTTAGCCGGGCAGTCACCCAGCTGACTCGCAGATGTGTAGCTGCTGCTGCACTGTGTGACATCACATCAGGAGGTAGCGTGGCCAGGGAGTTATAGCTCAACGTCTCTTCATTTTTCTTATTTTATAGTTTTAGATTTTCTTTATTTCTAAGCAGAATTAGAGTATTGTAATGATTTTTCCACAACTTTCATAGTTTCATTACGTGTAAAAATAGACGAGGCAGCTGGGATGACGGGTTAGCACAGCAGTAATAGCCAACTGTTTTCACACATACACACCCATGCTCTTCATTTTTCTTATACTGTAAGAGTATTAGTTTTATATTTTTTCTTTCTAAGCCAGATCATTTATATAGTTGAATAAGTACTAAGAGTGAGGTTGGACTTATTGGAAAATCTCTCTCTACGGTTCCTCTCAATTCCCATGAGTGCCAGATAACTGGTTCCACTGTACATGCATCTAAAGAAAACCTACTGAAACATCATACACAGCTGTATTTATGGGTGACTCAAGTATCTCACTCCTGCTTTCCTATGCTATTACCACCCATATACTCTACAGTATATAACAGTAAACAGTACTGTATTTTACACACACACGACCATAAAACTTACGCCTTTCTCTAGGATTCAGTTTTTCTCTTCCCAACATACGTTTGTCTCAACTTTTGATAGCTCTATATTTCCCCTCACCCCAAATATTTTCAGTACTCCTCAAATCCCATAATGTCCTTCCCTTATAAGTTTTGTTGTAAAAAAGTTAGGCATACACTTCTTGGTGTATTCAACAGATTTATTCCTGTATAGTTTTTAAATACAAACTGATCAACTATTTCATACCCATTCTTTTTTTTTATAATATAGTCTATCATCCCACCTTCCATCCCCAACATTTCAACAGAGAAACCATCCATTCCTGGTGCTTTCCCATTCCCCAGTTTACTTACAATCAAATCATGTTCCCAGCTCCCCTTCCTCAACACACTTCAGCCCATCTCTATCTATTACACATTATTCTCATCTCCCTTTTCATATTTATCCCCCCCCCCTATTTTTCGGTTTACCGTTACCACCTCTAACGGCAGCCATTTCAATCTTGAACCCTTTCCATGGTTGTATTTAACTCGTCCTCTGTCTCCCTTCTTATAGTTGGGATCCATGTAGGCCTTGGTCTTCCCCCTCTTCTCTCAATACTCTATCCGGACACACACACAGTACGTGCTCCAGCCACCTCCATCTATTCTTCATCAGCCATTCATAGATATAGGGAACATTTGTGACTTCTCTCATTGTCTCGTATCTAATATGATCACACCATCTTATGTTCATGATTCTTTTCAATACCTTATTCTCAAAAGTTAAGAATCTTCTGGATATTATCATTATCATACCAAGATTCACTTTCGTATACCAAAATGGGTCTTACTAGTGAAGTACATAATATCATTTGGTATGGAGTGTTAGTGTGTGACTTCCACACTTTGCCCAATATATCCATAACTTGATGACCTCTTATTTTGTCCTGAAACTCATCTTTAAGTGATCCATCGTTTCTGACTAGTGTCCCCAGGTATTTGAAAACAGGAACTTCTTCCATAATTTAGTCCTCCATCTGAATGTTCCCTTCAATTTCTTGGTCTGTTTTCATAACCTCTGTTTTTCTAACATTAATCGTAAATCCAGCTCCTCTGCTCTTTTCCTCCAGTCTGCTAACCATAGTTTACAAATTCTGAATGGATCTGCTCATCAGTATTACATCTTCTGCATAGTCCAAGTCTGCAAGGTATTTATTGTCGATTCATTCTCTTTTATCATCCACTGTCTCCTTCATCACCGTGTACAGAGAACAGCAATGGAGACGAAACATTACCTTGCAGCACCCCATTCTCAACATTGAATTCTGGGGAAAGTTGGCCATCAACATTCACATGACATCTGCTGCCCGTGAATTTCTTCTATCAAACTCATGTATTTTTCTGGCATTTCCACATAGTTTACTCTTAATTTATATCAAGAGCTTCACATTCTCCATAAAACCCCTTGATGAGGTGTTTTCCACCTACAGTACTTTCTGTTCTTTTGCATTCTTCACCACCTTTTCTTGCCCAACTGTACTGTACTGTGATCCTCCTATCATTTGCCCTTCTCTTCTGCTTAACGAGCAGATCCACCATCTCATGATCTGTCCTGTCGTCTCGTGTACTCGGTAAAATAAATTCCCAGATCTCAAGAGTATGGGATAAATTCCCAGATCTCAACAAGTATGGGGTAAATTCCCAGATCCCAACAAGTATGGGTTAAATTCCCAGATCCCAACAAGCATGGGATAAATTCCCAGATCCAAACAAGAATGGGTTAAATTCCCAGATCCCAACAAGCATGGGATAAATTCCCAGATCCCAACAAGTATGGGATAAATTTCCAGATCCCAACAAGCATGGGATAAATTCCCAGATCCCAACAAGCATGGGATAAATTCCCAGATCCAAACAAGTATGGGATATATTCCCAGATCCCAACAAGTATGGGGATAAATTCCCAGATCCAAACAAGTATGGGATAAATTCCCAGATCCCAAAAAGCATGGGGTAAATTCCCAGATCCCAACAAGTATGGGTTAAATTCCCAGATCCAAACAAGTATGGGATAAATTCCCAGATCCCAACAAGTATGGGGATAAATTCCCAGATCCAAACAAGTATGGGATAAATTCCCAGATCCCAACAAGTATAGGTTAAATTCCCAGATCCCAACAAGTATAGGTTAAATTCCCAGATCCAAACAAGGATGGGATAAATTCCCAGATCCCAACAAGCATGGGGTAAATTCACAGATCTCAACAAGTATGGGATAAATTCCCAGATCCAAACAAGAATGGGTTAAATTCCCAAAAAGTATGGGATAAATTCAG